GGAAGCAGCCCGGGCCCGCTTTCTCTGACTTCGGCTGGCCTGGGACGGGGTTCCTTCTAGTCCATCCCAGCCGGAGGAAAAGCGAGAAGAGAATGCAGGGTGGGGAGGGAGGCGGGATTGTCACTCGGTCTGGTCTTCTGGTGGCGGTTGTTGGTAGGGTTTTTTTTTTTTTTAATCCTGCTGCTGCCAGATTGGCAAGTGCCGTAGAGCTCACTGCATCCTTCCTCTGTGTTGGTACCCAAGGAGGAAAGAGCGAGGGTGACAGGAATGCAGCGCGCAGACTCAGATGGAAGATGCTCGGTATGCCCTGGGCCCGCGGGAAGACAGGGAAGGGAAGGGAAGGGAAGGGAAGGGAAGGGAAGGGAAGGGAAGGGAAGGGAAGGGAAGGGAAGGGAAGGGAAAGCCAAACAATGGGACACAGTGGAGAGAGAGGACGAGGCCAGGGAACTAGGGAGCACGTACAAGAAAAACCAGCAAGAAGCAAATATGTGTAGCTCAGGGTTGAACTGTGGAGTCCTTGAGGTTCTCTGAGCTTGGTTGTTTTCTTGCAGACGTTACCTAGCTGGGTAACGAAACGTCTTCAAGAAAACAACCAAGCTCAGAGAACCTCAAGGACTCCACAAAACCAGCAAGGGAAGACAAGCCTGGATCTTGGTTTGGTCTTTGCTGCTCTTCTAGTTGCTTCTGGTAGGAGAGAAAGCGATGAACTCCCCCCTTGGACGCTAGGTCCAGTTGTTGGTGGTCAGCTAGGCAGATCTTCAGAGGAGCATTGCTTCCAGCCTGAGAAGGCTACGGGTTCAAGCCCGCCTGCTTTTGGCCAGCTGTTTTCCCCATCTGATCTGGCTGGGGATCAGGGAAATTAATGTTGAGACACTGTTACTAGAATGGTGGTTTGGTTGGGGTTGGACAACACGCTAGGCCAGGTGAAAGGGGGATAGAGTGGTTTGTGATTCAGCATATTGTGGGAAACCAGGCATGGCTTGGGCAGGTAGAGGAAACCAGGATGTTATATTAAAAGTAATGCATTATATGGGAGAGAAATACTGTATTTGGTGTCAATATGGCAACCATGTTTTGTTAAACCTGGCTTAGGAAAGAGTTTGAAATTCCTCTGAATGTGTATTTATTTCACTGGGACTCAAGTTCTAATTGGCTTATCATGGCTGGTTCAGACAATACCCAAAGCCATCAAGGGGGTTGCTTGATCCGTCACTCCAGCCACTGACCTTTGTAAACCAGAGTTTATGGCTTAATGTTAGGTGTGAATGAACCAATTCACTCTGGCTTACTCAAGGAACAACAAATGACAAGCTGCAGATATGCCCTTCCCTACCATTTGATTTTACTGTACAGTTTCTCCCCTTGCATTTATTTTCTTAGTATTTATGCCTTTAGGATAGATTTGTTATTTTTTGTTGTCGTTTATACGAATATAGTGCTGTTTGGCTGTCATGTTTTCGGTTATTTTTGTAGAAAATCATGGCAGACAGTGTTTCTCCAAAACATTGGTTTTGGATAAGGGAAAATATATACATTCGAAATAATAGATGAAGCAGCAAATAATCAAATTACCAAAACAGGAGATAATGGCTTCTTGAGAATGAAATAAAATATTTATTTAATTAATTTCTATCTTAGATTTGTCACCACCTGTTTCATTGGAATGACGCGTTGAAAAATGTAATAATATTTGCATCACCGGCATTGCAGCGGGAGTACAGTGGCGTAGTACATATTCTGCACTCCCCATGTTTTTAGTCCCTATGTTAAAGGGCGGAGATTGGCTTAGATCATTTGGGGGCCAGGATAATAATTTAAGAAAGTGTCTTGGTGGCACCCTGAGGAAAAAGGCCAGACAGTGCTGTGAGTCACAAACTTAAGTAGCAGGCGGTGGTGCAAATTTACAGCTAATCTGGGGGTGATGATTGAATTATTGGGGGGTGGGCTGGACTCAATGTGGGAAACCACACAAAAAAAATGGGGGAGGAAGAAACGTTAAGGCCATCTGGATTATTGAAGGCAACAGCTGCCTTGCAACGATTATATTAATCTGAAGTCTCAAAAAGAACAGCTGGAAATGGCAGAGTGGGGGATGTTCAGAATTCACGACAGTCAACCGCCCTGTTAGTAGCCATCTTCGTGGATCATGAAGGCCAAGAAGGATGGAGCCAAACTGGGGTCTGAGAGTAAGGCAGAGGTGCCAACTGTGTGCTTGAAGGTTTGAAGAAACACTAAAATCAATTGATGAGGAAAGAAAAACGTTTCAGCACGTCAGTATGCTCAGGAGCCACCGACTCTTGCACAGAAGTGAGAAAAGGGGGAACAAGGAAATTGGGCTGGGATGCAAAAACTCAGCTTAATCCCATTCCATTTGGTGGTATTTTGACAGGAGTTTGGATGTGGGAATTTTTCCTGGAAGGTGAAGCTATATCTCAATGTTTTATGGCAACTCTCCCCTTGCAACTTTCTTTTTAAATTGAGATGCTAGCTTTTGCAGTATCTCTCAGCCCACTGTGGCTCTCCTCTTCCCCAAAATGCGCACATTTTGTCTCCAAAGCACAGTTGTGCTTATCATTCCATGTTAAGTCCTTCTGTCAAGGTTGCAGTTTTTCAGCCATCTTGCCACTAATATCCCGGCTGGACTTTGGTGATGGCTAAAAAGCAGCTGGTGGAGGAAATGAGAGGAGGCTGAACTTAATTCTTTGGATAAACCAAAGGGAGGCTTATATTCCCATCTTTCAAGCGCTAGCATGGATCAAATGTAGGGGAGGCGTGGTGAAACTCTGTCCTGCAAAGACCTTCTCATGAATTATATGGGCAGGTGCGCTCAAGTTCCTGTTACAAGATCAGAAGGAAAAGCAGCAGAGTTTGCTTGGGCTAAGGGGTGGCTTTGAAAAGGAATTTAGAGATGACCTTGGTATGAAAGAACCTCTAAGGAGGAGTTTGGAGAAGCAATTACATAGTCCAGAAGCTGAAATGAAGTCCTTGGAGAAGCAATTACATAGTCCAGAGAAGCTGAAGTGAGAAAAAAAAAATCAGAAAAAAGCCATCTTGATTTCTTAGTTTAAGGCAGGGTTCCCCAAAGTGGTCAATATTGACCCCCAAGGGTCGATGAGATGATCCAAGGAGTCAATAAATGTCTGGGAGTCAAAAAGGGGTCAGTAAATGTCTGGGGGTCAATAGGTGATCAATAAATGATGGAAGGTCAATTGGGGTCAATTCATATTTTGGGGTCTCTGTAGAGGTCCATGCCAGTCCCTAGTCCTGAAGGTGGGGTGGCCAGTGGTGAGACAGTGTTACCAGAGTTGGACGGTCAGCTGTCAGCAAGAGTGGCCTTGAGTTGTCTCTATCAGCTGTGTGTTATTACTGGCCTTGTTTATCTGTGTGCTTTGCATGGTGTATCTGTGACCTTCCCCCTTCCCCCTTGTCTCTCTCATCTCCCTTGTCCTGGGAAGAATATACATACATGTAGTGTTTCTGTTCACTTCCCGTAGTGAGCATTCTTCCCCACTTCAAACTCTGTTGATAAGCCAATACATTCTCAACACCCATAACGATAGGATGATGATGATGATGATGATAATAATAATATACCAAGTCCTTGGGAAGGACTTGATAGGTAGATAAAATGCCAAATCCTGCTGTACCGTACATC